GGCCGGTCGGACCGCGCCAATGTCCCGCCGCTCTCTCCCTGGCCATTTTCTTGCAACGTCTGGTCTTGAGCAACTACCCTGTGCTGGGCGTGACAGGTCACAGCCTGGACGGGTTACTCGACACGTAAAGGCGAAGTGCGCGCACCCCGAGCTGCTCCCAGGGAAGGACGTTGATCAACTGCTGAATAAGGGAGAAATGTAGTCGGTGCGCACCGACCACGAAAGAACTCGCTTCCCGGAGTCCCATGCAAAAGATCCGAAAGAAACCCCGGAACACTTAGTCCAAGCATGTGAGGAGTTGGCCCGTGTGACACAGCTCACTGGCCGGCTCAAGGAGGGCCAGCATGTCTCCCAGCCCTGTTCATTCCAGGGCTGCCCACTCCCCAGGCCGCTCCTTTGAAAAACAGGAACGTGTGCCCTCCGTTTAGGCTTGGTTTGCTGTCCTCTGGGCGGGTCTAGGAACTCAACACGAATTTATTCACTGAATAAGGAAATGATAGTCCTTGTTGTCCTAGGCAATGCTCACTGTTTTGTGCCCTCCCCTCCCCCCCGCAAATGTAGGGGTCCCAAGAAGAATGCTTACCTTCTTATGGAGGACTGGCCTGCACACGTGAGTACCTATTCATATATTAGCCGGTATTAAGAATCATCAAAGCGTAAACATTTATGGATTACAACTATTCTGTAAATTCCATAAATCAAGTATGACAGGCATTCAAATATACATATATTTCCTGCCTTTAAAACTTAACTTGATGAGGCCTGACTTTAAGTAGCCTATGTTTCGTTGTTTGACCAATTAGTTCAAAAAGAGGAATGGATGTTACAAAATAATCAATTCGGGTAGTTCTTTAGAGTTTATTATGCACGTTGATATTCAGTAATGATCTATCCCAACTCTTAAGACAAATTTCTGTGAGGTTTAGCACGATTTAATAGCTTGCCCTTGTTCACACAGAGGGTATATGGCAGAGTTAGTGCTTAAATGCAGGTGCCCTGATTCCAAATCTAACATCTTTATGACAATATTGCTTCACAGTCATATTGTTTTAGAATGCAAAGGGTCTTTAGTAATCACCAGAAGCCTTGGTGGTGTAATAAGTTACTGGTTGGGCTGCTAACCTCAACGTCAGCAGTTCGAGAGATGAAGCGTTCTCTCCTAAAAGATTTACAGTCTCAGAAACCCACAGGCGCAATTCTACTCTGTCTTACAGGGTCACTGAGTCAGAATCTACTAGATGACAGTGAGAGTTAGTAATCTGACCTCATCCGAAGTGCTGAAATCCTGGTGGGGACTGAGCATGATAGTGGGACAGGAGGAAAATCAAGGGAAATAAGAGGAAAGAGCTGGGAGGCAAAGGGCATTTATAGAGGTCTAGATAAAGACATGTACATATGCAAATATAT